GCCGATTTTTTACAGCCTTCTGCGTTCCCAGCATCTGTTCATGCATCTATTATAGAATGTACGTATTGTAAATTGTCTATGTACCTGTTTCCTCCCCCAATTAACTATAATCTCCTAAGAAAATAGACAATCTTTTTTTTTTTTTGAGACAGAGTTTCGCTCATTACCCACGCTGGAGTGCAATGGCGCCATCTTGGCTCACTGCAACCTCTGTCTCCTGGGTTCAAGCAATTCTTCTGCCTCAGCCTCCGGAGTAGCTGGGACTACAGGTGTGCGCCACCATGCCCAGCTAGTTTTTGTATTTTTAGTAGAGATGGGGTTTCACCATGTTGACCGGGATGGTCTCAATCTTTTGACCTCGTGATCCACCCGTCTCGGCCTCCCAAAGTGCTGGGATTATAGGCGTGAGCCACCGCGCCCGGCCTTGGGGACAGATTCTTACACTGTCACCCAGGCTGCAGGCTGGTTTGCAGCGCTGCCATCTCAGCTCACTGCAACCTCCACCTCCTGAGTTCAAGCCATTCTTGTGCCTCAGCCTTCCAAGTGGCTAGTACTACAGGCATGTGCCACCACAACTTACTAATTTTGTATTTATTTTTATTTTTTTAGTAGAGATGGGGTTTCACCACATTGGCCGGGTTTGTCTCGAACTCCTGACCTCAGGTAATTGGCCCGCCTCAGCCTCTCAAAGTGCTGGGATTACGTGCGTGAGCCAGCACACCCAGCCTAGACTATCTTTCTCATCTTTGCATTCCCATTCCCTAGCATAGAACCCGTTACATAGAAGCTGGTAAATAAATGCTTGCTTATAGAATTCATCAATCAATATCAGAGCTGATTTCAGGGAAATGCCTAGAATGACTCTGTTTTGGGGGGTGTTACAGAGACCACCTAGCACCAGTGTCAAGTGATGCTGCCTTTGTATATTCTTACTGAGGTCTCTGGTATCGCAAATTTATCCATTTCTCCTTTCATAGTTGGCATGGAGGAAAATTACTGAATAATATTTTAAATCTTATTTGAAGTTTAATCTTTCATAGAACTTCGTATATCTGATTATTGCTCCAAGCTAGAAGAGATAATTTTTTAACTAACACCCTTAGAGTTTAGTATAGCAACAGAACACAAAACTTTGAAGTATTTTAGTGGATCATGAAAGTGCTTATTCAGGAAACAATGAAATGTGACTAGATGCAGTGTGTATGGAGACTGCCAGCTTTCCATGGGGAAAGCAACCGCTTCAACTTTCTCCCTATTCTGAAAGACATTTCCGGGAGCTTGCACTCCGTTTTATCATGACCATCTCAGTGCCTGCTGGGAAGATTATGGCTGCTGGGGGGTAAATGTGTCTCCCCAAAGTTCACATGTTGAAATCCTAACCCCAAATGTGATGATATTAGGAGGTAAGGACTTAGGTGGGAGGTAATTGGGTCGGGAGGGTGGAGCCCATGACCTAATTACTCAGAACCCAACCAGACTGACAGCCTGATCTCCCACTTTCAGCCTCCAGAACTCTGGTGAGAAATCAGTTTCTGGTGTTTGTAAGTCACCCAGCCTATAGTATTCTGTTAGAATAGTCTGAACTAATCCCAGCACTTTGGGAGGCTGAGGCGGGTGGATCACTTGAGGTCAGGAGTTCGAGACCAGCTTGGACAATATGGAGAAATCCTGTCTCTACTAAAAATGCAAAAATTAGCCAGGCATGGTGGTATGCACTTGTAGTCTCAGCTACTTGGGAGGCTGAGGGAGGAGAATCGCTTAAACCCACGAGGCAGACGTTGCAGTGAGCCAAGATCGTGCCATTGCACTTCAGCCTGGGCAACAAAGCAAGACTCTGTCTCAGGAAAAAAAAAAAAAAAAAGTCTGAACTCATTAAGACAATGGCTGCTGATGGCAGAAATCAAAGGAAGAGAATCTTCAACACAGTATTCCAGAGTCCTACAACCCGTCTAGCAGTGGCTTAAGAACCTGTACTGGCCAGCATGGCTCACATCTGTAATCCTAGCACTTTAGGAGGCCAAGGCAAGAGAATCACTTAAGCCCAGGAGTTGAACACCAGCCTGGGCAACATAGTCAGACTTCATCTCTACAAATAATAATTTAAAAAAATTAGCCAGGCTGCAGCGGCGCGTGTCTGTTACCACAGCTACTCAGGAGGCTGAGGCGGGAGAATCACTTGAACCTGGGAGTTGGAGGTTGCAGTGAGCCGAGATCACACCACTGCACTCCAGCCTGGGAGACAGAGGGAGAACCTGTCTCAAAAAAAAAAAAGAAAAGAAAAGAAAAGAAAAGAATTATGGAAATTATGCTTACAAAGGCAAACATGTATTTTAAGCCTTGACAACACAAAATATAATCGTATAACTATCAACCTTGGGAGAGGAGGTTGGAATTAGCATTTCCTTTGGTTTCACGTGAATTCTTTTCTACTAAAATTCTGTAAAAAGTCTGTATTGCTATTATAATCTAATTTGAATAACCATTGTAATTTACATACCCCTTTCAATATTTATTTGATATTTCAATGAATGAATGAATTTGTGAGTCATAGTTGTCTGGATTGAGGACCACCTTAACGTCTCAGGAGTTATTTCTGGGTGTTGTTGAGGGTATTAAATGATTTTATATTTTGCTCTTTGCATTTTTCTTCATCACTTAAATGTTTTATAGTGAGTGTGCGCTTTTAAATAATAAAACAACGAGGCTGGGCATGGTGGCTCATGCCTGTAATCCCAGCACTTCGGAGGCTAAAGCAGGCAGATCGCTTGAGTCTGGGAGTTCCAGACCAGTCTGGGCAACATGATAAAACTCTCTCTCTACAAAAAATACAAAATATAGCTGGGCATAGTGGTGTGTGCCTGTCGTACCAGCTGCTGGGGAGGCTGAGGTGGGAGGATCACATGAGCCTGGGAGTTAGGAGGCTGCAGTGAGCTGTGATGGTGCCACTGCATTTCAGCCTGGCAGCAGAACCAGACTCTGTCTCAAGAAAAAAAAAGAAAGAGAGGATAAAACAATAAAGTTACTCTTGTTTAAGAGAAAGAAATAAGTCCATATAAGTCCAATCTCAAGAAAGTCCTTTCTAGATTTTCCAGCTATCCCTTAGGATCCCAGCCTGCCATCAAAATCTAGCTCTCAGGGCACCTGTTCTCAGGATCTCCAGAGGGCTGTGCCAGGAGCCTTTTTTTTTTTTTTTTTTTTTTGTTTGAGATGGAGTGTTTCACTGTGTCACCCAGGCTAGAGTGCAATGGCTCCATCTCGGCTCACCACAACCTCCGCCTCCCCGGTTCAAGCAATTCTTCTGCCTCAGCCTCCTGAGTGGCTGGGATTACAGGCATGTACCACCACGCCTGGCTACCTTTGTATCTTTTAGTGGAGACGAGGTTTCTCCACGTTGGTCACGCTGGTCTTGAACTCACTACCTCATGCGATCCACCCACCTTGGCTTCCCAAAGTGCTGAGATTACAGACGTGAGCCACCGTGCCCAGCCAGGAGCCATAATATTTTTTAAAAAGGAAGAAAAACAAAACATCTGTCTCTCCCATAGACTAAAGTGACTCATCACCATTCAAGCTTTCTTCCCTGTCAAAGAGTAAACAGAGAGATACTATCATTTGTCTAACTGAACCTTTTTCAGAGATTTTCGAGGCTGGGAGTGAAAACTAGTTAATGACAGCAAGAAGCACACATTTTTGAAATAACAAGAACATCTGGGAAGGGAGCTAAATTTTTCATACTGTTGTAAATGTGTTTCAATTTCTTTCTGGAGTGACAAATCCTCCTAGCAGTTTCATTGTCAAAGTAAGAATTTTGGAGGGAGTTTAACCCCTTCCTTTCCTTTCCCTTGGAGCCTCAGCTGGTCTTGGCTCTGGCCAGTCCTTCATATTACTTTTCTGTCTGGGAGGCAGTGGATTCTTCAGGTATGAAAAGCATTGTGCAGACCTGCATTTGATGCTGGCTGCATGAAGCTTAGATGACAAAAGGCTTTATATAAGAGAAAATGCAAATGTGACTAATGTTTAAGACTAACTCTTATTTAATAGAGAATATTATCATAACATTCTAGGTGATAGGATGTATGCATGTATGTATGTATATATATTTATTTTATATTTAAAAAAAAATTTGTGGGGACAAGGTCTTGCTCTCTTGCCCAGGTTGGAGTGCAGTGGCATGATCTCCATTACTGCAGCCTCAACCTCACAGGCTCTGGTGATTCTCCCATTTCAGCCTCCCAAGTAGCTGGGACTACAGGCACACACCATCATGCCCAGCTAATTTTCTGTATTTTTTGCAGAGATGAGGTTTCACCATGTTGCCCAGACTGGTCTCAAACTCCTGGGCTCAAAATGATCTGTCTGCCTTTGCCTCCCAAAGTGCTGGAATTACAGGCATGAACCATTGCACTCAGCCCAGATGTATATTCTTTACAGTTTTCTTTATTTTGCAAAATTTGAAAAATTAACACATGATTTATAGGTCTGGGGGAATATATATATATATATATATATATATAATTAAATCAGAGATTCTGCAAGGAATTTTTTAAAAATTTATATTTTCTAACCACTCCTGCTCACAACAAAACAATTGTATTAATTTCTCCTTTAAAAGCTTTCCCTTAAAGGAGGCCAACAGTTTACAGAGGAAATTTAGAACAAATAAAAGGAAATAACTTCTTCATGTGACTTGTGGCCAGCTAGAGGAATTTGCTGTCACAGAAGGTCATCTGTTCAAACGCAGTCCTTGGGTGGTTTGCAAGGCCGGGGAAATTAAGCCGGCTTCAGGTAGTAATTGCTGGAGGAGGGGAGCATTGCCTTGGGAGGCAGGCAGGAGCTGCCCTAATTGGCCATTGCTAGAGGGAACAAAATGTCCAGTTTTAGTTCGAAGAAAAGTTTCAGCTTGAACTGGTAGCAGGAACATCCTCTCAACCTTGATCTGGATATTCGGAATAATATCCTCCTGATGAATGCTTGTTCAAACTGAAGCTACTTTCGTTGTAATGCCACATTTGACCTTTGGTCAGGCCACTGGACTCACACTAATTGGTGGCCATGTGGTAGTCATTGTTATTCATGTATGCACTGGAGCCTTTATTGAATTTAAGGTCCTGGGCCAGACCCTGGCAACATCAGAACAAGTGAATAGGCAAGGGCTCAGCGTCTACCAAGGAAAACAAATACATTAAAAAAATAATATTAGGCCAGGTGTGGTGGCTCACATCTGTAATCCCACCACTTTGGAAGGCTGAGGCGGGCAGATTACCTGAGGTCAGGAGTTTGAGACCAGCCTGGCCAATATGGTGAAACCCTGTGTCTACTAAAAATAAAAAATTAGCTGGGTGTGGTGGCATGGGGCTGTAATTCTACCTACTCAGGGGGCTGACACAGGAGAATCACTTGAACCTGGGAGGCAGAGGTTGCAGTGAGCTGAGATTGCACCACTGGACTCTAGACTGGATAACAGAGGTAGACACCATCTCGAAATAATAATAATAATAATAATAATAATAATAATAATAGAACAACCCACTAACACCATGATACAAGTGAGGATAAAGTGCTATTGGGACATAGAAGGAATTCATTCTGCTGCATTGGGGATAAGAAGATGCATTTTCCCAAACTTTCTTAAATTAAGAGTCATTCTTGAAAACTTGCTAGAAGAACAAATTCCTTAGCTCCAGACCTCTCACTGAAGAAGAAAGTCCAGGGGAGAGGCCAGAATTCTGTGTACTTAACAAGTGCTTTGGGGCCATTCGGGAAACTTGAGTAGGTAGGAGTTTGCCACCTGAAATGGGGGACAGGGTTTACTCAGGATAAAGAAGTGCTTCTCAGGGGTCTGCGTACATGAATAACCCTGGGATGTGCTAAAGCGCAGTTCTGGATTCAGTAGGTCTGGGTTGGGGCCAGGATTTCCTTTCTGACAGGCTCCCAGTTATGTGAAATCTGCTGGCCAGCCGGCCACACTGAGCAGCACGTTTGTATCTCAATAAGAAGACTTCTTGGCCAGGCACAGTGGCTCATGCCTGTAATCCCAGCACTTTGGGAGCCCAAGGAGTCTGAGACTAACCTGGCCAACATGGTGAAACCCCATCTGAACCAAAAATAGAAAAATTAGCTAGGTCTGGTGGTGGGCACCTGTGAGTCCCAGTAACTCGGGAGGCTGAGGCAGAGAATCTCTTGAATTTGGGAGGTGGAGGTTACAGTGAGCCAAGATCGTGCCACTGACTGTACTCCAGCCTGGGCAACAGAACCAGACTGTCTCAAAAAAAAGAAAAAGAGGACTCCTCATTGTCTTTATCATAGAGTGCACTGAACAAGATCCTTGGTGATACGACCTCTTTCCCCACTGCAGTCTGATCTTTCGTCAACTCCACCCTGCTTTACGTTCCAACAAACGCAACCGTGATTTGTCTAGGGACGCTGACATGTGTCTCCTCTTACATCTGCCCTCTTTCTTCTGTCTGTTCAGCAAGCGGAGAGAAATGCTGGTCCCAGATTCAGATTCCCATGCATTCTTAAGAGCCCAGAGTCATGAGGATTTCCTCCAGAAAACATTCCCTGACCCCAAATCCGGGGTAGGCACCCCTCTTGAGCCTCTAACTCTCCCTGCCACACTGACCTGGTGGTTTTTCTCTTCCGACTTCCTTCTCACCCCATGATCTGTTTCTCTCCTCCTAGGACACACAGCCTGGCTTTGAGGAGCTGGTTTGGTTGGTCATTAGTTGAACTGGATTAGATCAAAGGTTCACGTCAAACAGCTTGGAAAACATTTGCAGAGGCAAGACAGGAAAGTTGTGTGAGGTGATCTGGGGACCCAGGCAATAGTGCAATGTGAGCCCTGAGAATCACAGGGAAAAGGTAACTGAAAACACAGCAGGGTGTGATGTGTGTGACTTGACCCTGCAAGCACCAGTCAGCATTGGAACTGTGGATCTCAGGTTTACCTTTTTTCTGAGTCAAACATTTGAGAACCTGAGGAGGGCTACGGGCCCCACCTCCTAAGAAATGATGATATGAGAAAAAAAGACATAAAGACAACATCTTGCAAATGACTTCAGGGGCAGTTCAGAGACTCCCTGAAGCCTGCGGACCCCATGTTAAGGACTTTGACATCAAAAGAGATCCCATGGGGATGCCACTATAACTGCCTGTTACAGGATGGATTGCAACAAGCCCTCGGGCTGTTTCATGAACAGAGTTGTTGGAACACAACCACGCCAGTTCATTTCTCTATTGCCTCTGCTTGCTTTTGAGCTCTAAATGCAGAGCTGAGAGTTACAGCAGCGATCTTACAGCCTGCAAAGCCTGCCATGTTTCCTGCCTGGCCCTTTACAGAAAGGCTTTCTGACCCCTGGAATAGCGTGCAGAGGGGTGACCAGAGAGTAGGTGCCATGCATGTTTAGATCCAGTGGTTTTCTACACATAGGTTCTGCTTTTGGCGAACAAAGGAAAGAAAGAAAGAGAAAGAGAGAGAGAGAGAGATGGATGGAGGGAGGGAGGGAAAAAGGAAAGAAAAGAAAGAGATTTTATGCTTTTTAAACTGCTTTTTTTTTTCCAGGCTGAAACCAAATAAACATAAACCAACAAAACCAAAAAAAGCCTGGTGCCAAATAGTGACACGGTCATTTTAAATTTTAAGGCCAGACATTTTAAATTATATACTTTACAACTTTGTATACTTTACGACGGGTGTGGTGGCTCACGCCTGTAATTCTAGTATTTTGGGAGGCTGAGGTGGGAGATTCTTTTGAACCAAGGAGTTTTAGACCAGCCTGGGCAACATGGTGAGAAGACCCCTGTCTCTACAAAAAATTTAGAAGATTGGCGGGGTGCGGTGACACATGTCTGTAGTCCCAGCTCCTCGGAAGGCTGAGGCAGGAGGATTGCTTGAGCCCAGGAGGCTGAGGCTGCAGCGAGCTGTGATTACACTACTGCATTGCCGCCTGGACAACAGAGCAAGAAACTGATTTAAAAAGGAAAAAAATATATATATGTATATAATATATATATACTTATATACAATTAATTGAACTGAAAGACTAAGATCTAAGATCTGGCCTTTTCCCACTATTTCTGGCAAAGAAATGTATAATTTTTTTTTTTTAAGAAGAATTCTGTCACCCAGGCTGGAGTGCTGTGGCACAGTCTCAGCTCACTGCAGCCTCTGCCTCTTGGGTTCAAGCGATTCTCCTGCCTCAGCCTCCTGAGTAGCTGGGATTTACAGGTGCGGGCCCCCATGCCCAGGTAATTTTTGTATTTTTAGTGGAAATGGAGTTTCGCCATGTTGGCCAGGCTGGTTTCGATCTCCTGACCTCGTGATCCATCCTCGTCAGCCTCCCAAAGCGTTGGGATTACAGGCATGAGCCACTGCACCTGGCCAGAAGTCTATAATTTTACATTGTAATTTAAGTTGGCTTGAAAGATTCAAAGATCTTGGATCTGGCCTTTCTCCACTAGGTCCGGCAGAGAGGTGGTAGGCGGAAAGGAAAGCACGCGTTGTGTCAGACACAGCGGGGGAGCATCTTCTGTGATGGTAGGTAAAGTATTTAGCTGCAAAGCATTTCCTTTTCTTCCTTTGCAGCATAGAATAACAGATGCTCATTTTCCCAAGGATTGTTGCGAAGATTAAATGATATAATGCAGGTCTGCATGGATTTTATTCGGTCCAGGTCTCCATAAAAAGCAGTCCAATTATAAAATCATCCAGGGATGTTTAGTAAATCCCACCCCATCCCAAAGGATCTGGCATTTATTTGTTTCCCTGTAAAAGCTTTTCTATAAATGATGAGTGGCAATAGCTTTTTCTAAACTTCCTAACATGTCTTTTAATGAATGGGGGGGGGGTGTGATCAAAACAAAAGCAATTCCAAACTAGATTATATTGCGGTCAGGAGCAAATTACGTAAGAGATAACTTCCAAGTCTTAAAAAAGAGAAAGAACTCATTGACTAGGCTATGTGGGTGTGGCCAACTAGGAAATTCACCATTTTCATTTACCTGACATCTGCCCTTTAAACCCTCTTTCTCCCTCCTTAGCCATAATTCATTTCCTTCCCATCAGAACTATTTAAAGAACCCTTTGTAGCAACTCCACAGTTGTAGGTTCGGATACAATTTATTTCTTAAGTCCTTCATAGGGCCCCTTTGTTTTCTGCCTGCTCATAATCTGTCAGCGTGGATGTTGCAACAATGTATGGGATGTGCTTGCATTTCCTCTTGTTTATCTTAGACCCCTTATCTAAGGTTTCTAAGCACTTGAACACATTAACTCTTCCCAGAGTATTTTTCAAATGACACTAAAATATTGAAAGAATAGAGGAAATTATTTTAGGACAGAGCATAGGAGAAAGAGAGAGAAAACATGAGAAGGCAATTGCTCTACTTTCTAAAAGATTGGCCAGGCGCAGTAGCTCACGCCTATAGTCCCAGCACTTTGGGAGACTGAAGTGGGCAGATCACTTGAGTCCACGAGTGCAAGACCAGTCTGGGCAATGTGGTGAAATCCCATTTCTACCAAAAATACAACAAAATAGCTGGGTGTGTGGTGGTGCACACCTGTGGTCCCAGCTATTTGGGAGGCTGAGGTGGGAGGATGAAGGTTGTTACAGTGAGCCAAGATCACAGCACTGCACTCCAGCCTAGGCCATAGAGTGATGCCCTGTCTCAAAATAAAATAAAATAAATATATACATAAAAGATTCAGTCTCTCCCACTGAAGAGAATTATATTACATTATAATCGGGAGTGGGAGACACTTTCAAATTTAACAGTTCCAAGAAAATACAGAATCTGCCAGAATTATAATCGCAAGAAAGATTCTTTTGTTTGTTTGTTTGTTTTGAGACAGAGTGTCGCTCTTGTTACCCAGGCTGGAATGCAATGGCGCGATCTCGGCTCACCGCAACCTCCGCCTCCTGGGTTCAAGCAATTCTCCTGCCTTAGCCTCCTGAGTAGCTGGGACTACAGGCACGTGCCACCATGCCCAGCTAATTTTTTGTATTTTTAGTAGAGACGGGGTTTCACCACATTGACCAGGATGGTCTCGATCTCTCGACCTCGTGATCCACCCGCCTCGGCCTCCCAAAGTGCTGGGATTACAGGCTTGAGCCACCGCGCCTGGCGCAAGAAAGATTCTGAATTGCAAAATATAGACAGAGGTTGGCACGACTGAACAAAGAAGAAAATCCTGCAGGAACCCAATGGACTGAGTTTCATCAAGCCTGGGAGTCCACTGTCTTGAGACTCTTACAGCAGCCAGAGCAGCTTTCCTGGGAAGCTTTCTGAGTTCTTTACATACAGAGAAGGTATGGGCTGGCTTCGCTTATTTCCTAGTAGGAGAAAAGAGTGGTTTTATCCACCACCTTCTTTCCAGCACATTGCACGGTTCTAGGGCTATCACCCCTGCTTTTACTACTAGAAAGAAAAGAAAAAAACCAGAAGAGAAAACCACAATTTTGCCCTTCCATAAGGAAGTGTGATTTTTTTCACCTTCAGAAAGCAGATTTGTGAAGCTTAATTTGTTCATCTCTATAAAGCGCTTTCATTTTTGGGGGAAGGAAAATGATCCATGAGTGAGCTTAATCTAGGCTTAATCTGATCTAAAATGGAATTATTTAAAATAATGTCACTGTAGTTTGAGATTCATACCTCTTGTTTCTCTTTGGAGACATGGCTTTTAGCAAAGTCTGAGTGAACTGTCTGCCGTTAAGAGTGGGATTCTCTCTGGGGAGTATTCAGCTTTCTCTTAAAACTTAAAGCAAATTTCATTAGGAAACAGAGGATCAGTAAAAAGTCTAGCCTGGATGGATGAAAGTGTATTTCTTCCATGAAAGCTTGGTTTTGGAAGTTATTGTCATTATTTGAAAACCTGTGAACCTGCTATGACTTATTTTTAAAAAGCAGCAATTAATTTCATGTTCTGCCTGGAAGAAAAAACATTTGAGAAATTGTGTGGAGCCCATCGTCTGAGTCTTTTGCCTATTGCAGAAGAGTAAATGTTCAGAAAAAAAAAAAAAAAAAATGGGGCCTGGCATGGTGGCTCATGCCTGTAATCCCAGCACTTTGGGAGGCCGAGGCGGTGGATCACCTGAGGTTGGGGGTTAGAGATCAGCCTGACCAACAAGGAGAAACCTCATCTCTACTAAAAATACAAAATTAGCTGGGCTTGGTAGCAGGCGCTTGTAATCCCAGCTACTTGGGGGGTCTGAGGCAGGAGAATCGCTTCAACAGGGGAGGCGGAGGTTGCAGTGAGTCAAGATGGCGCCATTGCACTGCAGCCTGGGCGACAAGAGCAAAACTCCGTCTCAAAAAAAAAAAAAAAAAAAAAAGTAACGGAGGGCATGTGCCATAGAGTTATGAATTTTTTATTTTTATTTCACCAAGAGAAAAAGTTTACATTAATGAGTTTCAAAAAGTGACCTATGTTCTTTATTTGCTTTTACATTTGTTTCTTCCCTAAAGAGAGACACAACGTGCCCGGTACAGTGGCTCAGGTCTGTAATTCCAACACTTTGAGAGGCAGAGGCGGGTGGATCACCGGAGGTCAGGAGTTAGAGACCAGCCTGGCTAACATGGTGAAACCCTGTCTGTACTCAAAACACAAAAATATTAGCATGGCATGGTGGTGCATGCCTGTAATCCCAGCTACTCAGGAGGTTGAGGCAGGAGAATCTCTTGAACCCGGGAGGAGGAGGTTGCTGTCAGCCGAGATTGAGCCATTGCACTCCAGCCTGGCCGAGAAGAGGGAAACTGTCTCAAAAAAAAAAAAAAAAAAAAAAAAGACACATGATCTTTTCTTTCCATTCACGCTTCCTTTTTCCATCATTCCCTGTAACCTCTTTGCTGCTGCATGCTACATGGGACTTAGTTTAAATATGGATGAAAGGAAAGATCTTATGGCTGAATGTAACCACAATGACTCTAACAGTTGGTGGGAGGGAAAATCAAGCTGCCTGGAATGAATTTCGCATGTCAGCTTCTAGATGGACTGGTGTTTTCATGAGCGTTATGACTAATTTGGGGTGTGGTGCTGAAATACAGGGAGGCTGGCAGAAACCACGCTAAACACCTTGATGTGGCCCACTGTGGAATGGCCCAGGACATGAAGACGCAATCATGGAATTGACTCTGTTAAAATGAGATAATAAAAGAAAAGGGAAATAGATTTTCTTCCTTGGACAGGATACAATATCGTTGCTTTATTGAAGCACTCAGGTTTCTCATTATAGAATATTAGAGTATCTGTTCTGATAGTTGGATGTCTCCGGGAGGCACCTGTGTGGTGGCAGCCTCTTGGCTGTATGAAGTGACTTTGTTCTCAGTTGTGGCATTTGACAGAAGTCTCTTTGTTTGTCTTTTGTCTGCCCGCAGTGCTTGTGGTCTTTGCAGCACAGGTTACACACAGAAGGCTTTGTATTCCCTCCAGTAGATGAGCACCAATTTCTTCCGATTTACGAATGAGCTTTTTCTGGAGAGCTGGTTACTGTTGTTTGGCATACAACCATTTTTCTCCGCCGTTTTTGTTTTTGGGACTTTTCGTAGGTGCTTGCTCATTTCCTGCAGCTGGGCATGGTCTGTCCATCATTTCAATAAGCTTGTGCAGGAGAGCAGGAGACAGGGGAAGTGCCCAGTCTTCTCTCCCAACTGAATTCCATTTCTCTCCCTACAGAATTCCCTTTCTTGTCCTCATTCTTCTGTCTTGAATCTAGAAGAAGACCCAGATTGTCTGAGTGGATGACAATTTCATCTACTCATCAATTCCTTCAATAAGCACCTGCTAATTTCTGGGATCCTGAATTAATTCTAGAAGGCAGATGTGTTTTACAATAAAAATTGAAGGAAAAGAGGAGAGAGAGATGGAGCAAGGAGATCAAATGAAGACAGAAAACAGGAAGGCAGAGCTAAGAAACTGTAGGAAGAGAAAATGAAGAAAATAGAAAAGAAGGCTGAGCGTGGTGGCTCATGCCTGTCATCCTGGCACTTTGGGAGGCCAAGGCAGGCAGATCACCTGAGGTCGGAAGTTTGAGACCAACCTGGAGAAACCCCATCTCTACTAAAAATACAAAATTAGCCAGGCATAGTGGCACATGCCTGTAATCCCACCTTTACTTGGGAGGCTGAGGCAGGAGAATTGCTTGAACCTGGGAGGCAGAGGTCTTGGTGAGCTGAGATCTGAGATCGTGCCATTGCACTCCAGCTTGGGCAACATGAGTGAAACTTCGTCCAAAAAAAAAAAAAAAAAAAAAGCAAGCAGGAAAGGAAATGGTTTAAATTGATTTTCAAACAGGGACAGAAAAAGATGGATTCCGAATACCCTATGTGCAGATGTTTCTGCCAGTACTGTAAGGACCACACAGATTAATTAGTTTTGGCCACTATCTTTCAATAATTTCGAATTAAGAGTAGAAATCAGATGAAAAATATGGGAAGACATATATGTCTTCGTCTACTCTTGTTCCCTGAGATATATATGAGAGAGCTTTTGAAAGTAGTTAATGGCCAGGCACAGTGACTCACGCCTATAATCCCAGCACT